AAGGACAATTACGAGAAAAAAAAGGGATAACGATCTTTGATGATTAATATTTTTGTAATGAATTTGTGTATAATACTTTGTTTTGTATATTTATTTTTATAATACTTGTATATATCAATTGATTTATTAATATTTCTTGTACCATTAATAGAAGCGGACTCTAGGAGTGTTCATTTATTGAAACATATTTCTTGGTATAGTTAAAGGAAGAATTTAAATTCATTTAAACCGAACATTACTTAAACTTATATGTTGTTGAAATGGAACTTAAAATAAATTTCGTGAAAAAAAAATCCACTTTGGTTTAATTTTTTTATTAATAAAATAAGTGGTCGAATTGTGATTTGAACATATTTCACCAACCAACCAAAACATATGCTCATTATAATGTTTTTGATGGTATATCCACCCACATGTCAACTTGTACTTCCATATTATATTTACGCATGTGGGTGGGTTATAATTAATTCAAGCATATTGAGTTTCAATGGCCAAAGGCGTAGATTGAGACGATTCGATCAACGTAATCAATACAAGCCGTTGCTAATCAGTCATCGGCGAGTTATCCTACATCTATTTGCTTTATAAAATTACTTTGATTTAATTTATTTACTAGCTGTAGGCCACAATACCGTCCGCGCAAAATAAAAAAAAACTCCTAATTAGTAGCCTATTTTTTTTTATATCATAAGGTGTATAACGAGCAAGTGACAATCTAAATTCGCCGAAATGGCGAGCGTTCGCTGCACTTAGACGTTCGCAATTCCCGATGCGTTGCCTACCATTAATCGAGGAGAGAAAACACAGAAGTATTATTCCAGACTATGTTCTACATCTATGCCATCTTTTCGCGAGATCCATGCTGCCTTTCTGGAGATACATTCTAATAAATATCCATTCATCCATACATTCAAACATTCGCATTTATAATATTAGTAAGAGTTTTATTTATTTCTTTATATGTTTACATTGTTAGTTAAGATATGGACGAGATATGTAAGATTTTTTCTTACAAAGCTTAGTAATTCCTTACCACCGGGTCGTAACGTAATAAAATCGAAGGTTCGTTTTATGTCTGTTCAGCCCTCGAACCGCCATTGTAATTCCGGCGCACTCCAAATAAAGACCCACATAGTTCGGAAACGCGGCTGTTTCGTCGGAAATTTTTGATACAACGCTCGCAGAAATTCGCTAATTTAAATTGTTTTCGAAGTATGGGTTTCGGAATTGGGAAACGCGATACGCGGCTATACGAGGTGTACACAGCTAAATTTTAATCGTATTTCAGAGAAATGTTTACGTTAAATTAATTCTACGGCTTAGCTGTTCGTATTTACTGTTTAAGTAACTTTATAAGTTAGAAAAGTTATTCCGTTATGTGTTCTTATTAAAAAAAAATCATACAACCATATTTTACTACTTTGTGAGTAATAAATTCAAAGATTTTTTTTACTCTACACTTTAAGGATCAGTAGCTAATAAGGCAGAGGTTCGACGCAATGATTTTGACTGTATTAAAATCGTTCGACCTTTCACTTAAATATCATAAGCTATTTAAAAAGAACGATCTAAAATTATGTTCATTTTCAAAAATTTAAAAGTTCAATACGTGTCCTAAAAACCTTTACTAACACGTTTATGTCAAAGTTGATATTTTAAAACATATTCGGGAGTTTTTGACGCCCACGATACTTCAATAGCGAGAGTCATTGTTTTCATCTCAAGCCCAGACGACAGCTGCCGAAAATATTGATGAAAGTGTCATTAATTTCACATATACAAGTCACGTATCCATACAACAAAAACCATACAAAAACCTAACAATGATTTAGCTGAAAAAACAAGATTCTCAGGTAACAATTATTAAGATCCTATCCTGGAGTAATTAAGCTAAGTGACGGTGCTTAAGTAAATTTGTAAAAGATATAAAGCATTAAAGTAGAGAAAAAAGTTTGTTAAAAGTGACTGAAGATTACAAAGTACACGAATATTTGCGACACGCGCCTACGTAACGTAATCGAAATTAGTATGAGATTTGTTGACGTACTTTACGTCCGGTAGGGTCACTAATTTTAATACACATTTTCTAGATGACGTTAGGAAAACATTCTCACGAATATTCGTGCTAGGCCCTCAGTAAACGCAAGTCGATTCGAAGCGACATCTATCGACGTGGGAAATACAAGCCCTGCAGGTGTCCTTTGTAAACTGGAACGATTTGGAGTATGATTCAAAGTTAAACTTAAGTTTGTTTGACTTGCGAACTCGCGGTTGGTTACCCGATAACTTTGAATTTATTCTTCATTATACTTTACAATAGTCCTTTTCACTTTTCAAGAATAAGTATTTCATTTTAATGCTCTTACAAAATGATTTGCTTTGTTTAATTTTCGATTATGCCTTTTTGAAAATTGTGTTTAACTTTATTAAACATTCTGATTTCCTTTAATAAGAGATAAGTTTTGAAAACGATTTGAACAACTCTCAACATTTTGAAAAATTTACGTTACGTAACATAATAATTAGGATACATATAATTACAATGTCTTAAATAGCTTCGCGACAATTTCACCACTTGTCGACTTTACTTAACACCATTGAACTATGAAACAGCTGAATTATGAAAATAAAGTAATTTAGTTTACAACTCGGAATAAATCAGTTGCAATAAGTGGTTGATTAACATAGGAACGACGCAGCAAGTACAGGGGAAGGGTAATTTACTTTTATGATTATTACCTTCAGTAAGGCAAGCCATCGTTAGTCTTGTTACCATAAGTTATACCAGACCCATTACATAAGCAAAATGTCTTGATAAATGCATTTGTAAAACATGCATTCTAAAGTCACAAGTTACTTCAAGTAATCAATAAAGTAGTTTAGTCTAGCCCGGAGCCACGCTGGTCCAGAAAATTATATGTAATTAATATGAAAGCCAGAAAACCTGAACATTTAGCAAAAAGCATAGTTGCAACTGGTATTAAGATAAAAGTTATATTTAATAAAGGAAATACAGAAACAGGTATATTCATGAAAGATCATAACAAAAATAAGGAAACGCACAAACACTAACAATTATTGTAAACATGATTCATAAAGATAACCTTTTATAAGAGACTGAAATTGAGATTCAGGTTAAATTGACGAAATTCCACGCCATCAGCCAATACAGAGACGTGAGTGCGTTGTCAATAGAGTACAGTGTGCTCCATACAGCCAACAGTCACGTAATGTTATCCAATTTCCGATTTATGCTCGCTACATTTTTTTATTCAAAGCTTTTTTATCAACATTTAATACTTTATTGCCTGTTGAACTACATTGATTCATATGACAGAATGTATGTACGACATTTTCATGTTTATTATTGTAATATTTATGCATGATACCGAACGTGCACAAAAATCTGTTTGATCTAAGATGAATTATATATTTTTTTACTAAAATCCAAAATCTGGTGCACCTGGATCTTTTTATATTTTATATATTAAGATGGCAAACGAGCAACTCCCATTCCTATGGTTTCCATCCATCATCATATCCCTTTCCCATTACCATCCTTGTCATATAAGAAAAAGGTGAGGCTGGAACGGGGTTTAAAATCTTGGTTTATGTGCACTCATCAGACGAGACTAGGAAATATTTCGACTTAGCTTCTGTCTTCTGTGTGGTCGTAGTATTGCACCGGTCAAGCTGGCGCGTTTATGCAACACATGTTGTTGGCGTCTAACACTGTATCTGCAATAAGATAAAAGGATTTAAATGCGTTACCTACCATATTTAATGAGTCCATGTTGAGGAGGAGATGAATAGGAAGATTTCCCCCTTTACTTTAATTTAAAAACTTAAAAATATCAAGATAAAACTTATGACCGTAACTATGTAATAATAACGCTGTACAGGTAACAGCTTGGTACAGCCTGATGTCAGCTACTGCGTACGAATTCACCAAAGCCAATGTTTGGATCAGCATTATTTCTTTAGTAGGACATTAAGGATCGTACACACGTCGATATTGGAGATTCGGTTTCCTGAGTTACTCAATGAAATTTTATGGTGATTACAGAAGATAACATACATTCAAGAAGATTAGTACGAATACTTAGATATTATCCTTACATCACGTTTCTCTTGATGTGGACAATTACATTAAAATACAACGCTTTTGTGAGGGAGTTTGTTTTAATACTAGGGGTTATATTTACCAGTTAAAAGACTGTGTGGTAGTTGTGTAGGTCTTGAATTTGTTTCTGTGAATTTAATGTATTTATGAAGTTAATAATTTAATCTAGAACGTAACTATTATTCAAATACCACATTTCAAACATTTACGACACAAAAGCAATGTCGAGACTGGCTACACACATTCAGTTAGACTTCTTTCTTTAATCAATTTATTACCATTACATATGTGAATAGAACCTAGTAGCGACAGCACATTGTTGTTTTTTTAAACAACTGCTGCCTATGATTTTCCACAATAAACAAATGAGTAGATACGTTGCTCACCATTATGGTTCTTGTTATGGCGTTCAGAACCCGGCCACGGATCATTTCAGGCACATCTTTCTTTTACAAACACGAGCCGGTCTCGGCAGCATTTTCAAAAGGCCTTCATAAATATTTTCTAAGGCGAATTATGTCAAGTGGTCTTGAAATTTGGCAAACACTCATTTCGAGTGGCCACAGCAAACGCTCCTCAATCCAATGACATTTCCAAGTTTATGTTACGATATCATATTGTTTTGTTGTTCAGAGCTGTTGTTTACCAACATTTGAAATGTTGTGACTATGTTTTATTGTTATTATGATATGTCTCCTCTATTTCCTCGCTTCTATTGGGTAATTTTTACTACAGTATAGATTATAGTTGATACTTCCTTTCTTTAAAGATTCTTTATTACAAAAATGTTATCAGGAATTTCATTATTTACTACTACCTTTAAATATATTCTAGTTCTTAGACAACTTCAAATATTTGATTTTAATATTATTTACAGTGCCGACGTCGGACGTGCAGGGAGTGCTGGGCAAGAAGGCGTCACTTCCGTGCGACATTCAGCCGCTGCACGCTGACGACGCCGTCGTCATGGTGCTCTGGTTCAAGGAGTCCGACGGGGAACCACTTTACAGGTCAGTGCAATTATTGGCACTGTGTCTACTTTCTCTACGATTGCTACAAAAATCTCTTGTTGCCCACAACACATATGAGTGAGACATAAATCAATCTGTTGGACGACTTACATACATACATGACTTACTACATGGCAGTAAGTCGCCATCTGTGATTAATTCACTAAGGGATATTCGTAATATTTAAGTTGTTGTTCTGCTCACAGTTACGACATCCGTGGTCGTTCGTACACGCAGCCGAAGCTGTGGTCATCGCCCACGGTGTTCGGCAACCGCGCCTTCTTCCGCGGTGGTGCCACGCCTGCTGTCCTCATGATCGACAATGTAGCTGCCGTCGATGCTGGCGTCTACAGGTGTCGAGTTGACTTTAAGAATTCACCTACCAGAAATCTTAAAGTAAACTTTAGTGTTATAAGTAAGTATAATTATATTTATAAACGATTGAAACAAATATGTCATCTGTTTAGTTTAATTTACTATTATTTAAATTCATTTTGGATTCATCAGAATAATAAATTTACAAAATCTTGAAGATTTCACGATGCAATTGTATGAAAATCTATGTATATTCCTGTGTGTACAGGAATTTTTGAAAACATTAATAACATTCTCAAGTTTTTTGCTACAGAAAATAATTACAGTTGTTTTGCATGACTGAGAATAAATCCAGCATTTTCTTGTAATAAAAACTAACACGTACGTGTTAACTTTGGCCGCAGTCCCGCCGAGCAGGCCGACGATTTACGACGCGAAGCGCAGAGACAGGACCAAACTAGTAGAGCCTTACAACGAAGGATCTAATGTTTTACTCATTTGCGAAGTGGAAGGAGGTTAGTAAATTTTTAACGACCCAGTAAAAGTTTCCATTAGATCTTAACACGTTACACACATAGTAAACATTTCTTTAGGAAAAAATAATTGCAGCTAAAGATAGAAGAGAAAGTTAAATAATTATTTGTGATCCGTCATTTTTACAATTTTATCAGATGACCATCTATTTCCTTAAATGCACAAGCGTTTACTACCTTGACATAAGTCTTGCAATGTTAAGCATATAAACGACAATTACATTAGTTCACTATTGAATTAGAAAGTCGGACGGACCTTAACAACAACGTTATTTCCGAAATCAAACCATCATTATGTGTTTAGATTAGATATTGAATTCACATAAGCTTTGCATTCAAATGTACCGTTGAAAAGTACGCTGGGGATAATATTAAAATAGCTATACATAATCATAAATCAATTGCTAAGGAAATATCTGTGACAATGATAAGTAAAAATAAATGTAAATATTTGGTAATAAATGTTAAATATGTACTGTATACATGGATTTAAAATTCTTACTCTATCTTAATGTCTTAGGTTACATTTCATATGATTTCAATAACGCTTAAAGATGTTCCTGAACTCTGATGAGCGTTTATTCTTCGAAGTAAAAGTGTAAAAGTCTTCGCGGGTAAAACCATCAATCTTTGTAACGATTGCCCGATTTCTCTATCAAATTGTTTGATGGATCATTTTTTATTTTCCGCGATTAGTGTTGCTACTACCGATTGACATACCACTAAGTGTATATTGATTTTGTTCACTTCTAATATCAAAAATAATTTTCACAGTTAAGGATCACATCTTTATAAGTAAAATTGTCAAATATTTGCACCATTCATTTGAGATTTATTGCCTGGTGCCATAAATTTTGTAACCAACTTTTGTTTAGTCACCAACAGAAAATTCCATAAACAAAAGTATAGCAAGCATAATCACGAGGTAATGAGGTAGCACTAGTAAAAATAAACAACTCTTTTATTATATATTTGTGACTGAATATGCGGAATTCTTATAATAATAATTTATACATGTTTATGGGACATTGAAACAGTAACACTATTGCCACCCACTGTCTTTGTTTTCTTATCATTTACGACTCGCCATTGTTTCAATCTCGGACACCTCGAATGGATAATAAATAAAAGTAGTTGTAACGTGAATATAATAGGATGGTAATGACATAGGGCTTACGTTTCTATGATCGATTGAACATCATTTTTGGTCAATTTATTAAGGTGTGGAAACACTGCATAACTTTCTGTAACATGTACAAATATTCGAAATATAGATAGAAAAGGAAAGCATTATATTCAATTTTTCTAAATATTTCTTATTATTTGTTCACACTTAAATTTTTCAATCGATCCTTTTCCATTTACTCAAGTTAAAAAAATCTTTAAGACACTAAGCAAAATTTAATAAGGTTAACCTCATTAAATATTTTAATATTATCTAACTTTCGAATCCTTTTAATTTTATACAAAAAAAAAACGAGTTCACCAAATAATTTCAAAGTTTCTAATTATTTAAATTCTTGACTGCCCAATTTATTAATTTTGACCCTAAAACAAACTGTATAAAATTTGGTTTAAGTAATAAAATCGCTTGAAAGCCAATTAACAATATTAAAGTAAATCTTTCAGAGTTCAGTTACTTTAAAAAATTTAAAGAGTTAAGATAACAGTAATTTGGTTCAAGACTTACTAACCTCTACGCAACAATATTCATTATCCAGGGGGAAAATTAATAATCTTGCATACATCAAGAATGATTGTTTTCTACTGGTTGCTTCAGATAGTTTTAGAAAATTAGATTTTAATTAACACAAGTTCGAACAGTAATATAATCGCTTATAATCCAAAGCGGTAGGAAGATGTTACGATCATTTATCGCCTTGTGCTGCACTTCTCGCTTCTTCTAGATCCATAAATCTATTAATTTACCCGTCTGTTAAGTATTTCCTTATCTATGATTCCTATCATCAGATATTATGTGTTTTTTCAATTCCTAGGTGTACCAAGACCGAGGGTGACGTGGTACTTGGAGAACGTGGTGATAGACGACTCGTACGAGCAGCGCTCCGACGGCATCACTATAAACACTCTGACATTCCCCAACGTGGGTAGACAGCATCTTAACGCGAGGCTCGTCTGTCAAGCTTCCAATACTAATCTAGCGCCGCCTGAAACCAAAGTACTGATCTTAGATATAAATTGTAAGTATTGCTGTAGATAAAATGATAGATAAATAAAAAAAGAGAAAAGATATGTTACTGAGGATAAATATATTTACGACATAGTAGGACTTATACATGGAAAATTAATTAACAAAACCCTTTATTGTTGTCTGAATTACGATGTCACGTACTATGAATTATTATAATATTTTATTATTCTTTACAAACGGAAGTGATTAGTGAGGTAACTTGCATTTAATTAGTATTCAAATATGCAACATGTAACATTAACAGCGTGACACGTGCTGTAATAAACTTATTCACAACACTAATGTCATTACAACTGACGGGTAACAGAGCAATATGATCGATTATGTGTTTAAAAGTTTAACATAATGTTAAATTATGCCTTAACTAACTTTACATCTTGTTGTTCTTTTTGGAGTATCAATAGAAGAATTGTTTTCATTTATCTGTATGATGTTACCAGTTATGCTACGCCTATTAACATAAAATTAAGTAAATTAAACATTCATGTTTTATTGCAGTAAAACCGATTACGGTAACGATATTAACGAAAGAAAAGCAAGTGTCCGCGGACAAGAGGTACGAGGTGGAGTGCAAGACGACCGGCTCGCGGCCCGAGGCGACTGTCACGTGGTGGAAAAACAATAGACAACTCAAGCGAATGGCGAAAAACGTGAGCGACGTCTTTGTCTATCCGCACTTCTCCATTGTCTTAATTAATAGATTCCTTTCCACTTTTTCCACGAACCATAATGACTGTGTCGTCCTGTCCTTCATTGTTTCAATGTTTTTGCGAATATAAGGTCGTTACTGCGGCTTCTTTCGCGATGTCGTCTCCCTTTTTGTTGCTTTCTTATCGCTTTGTTTCCTTTTTGCGAAACTTTGAATGGAGAGTCGCTTTTTGAAGTCTTTGTTTTGAGTGCGGCGCTTTTTTGAACGCTTCTTTATTTTTTTAAGATTTATTTTATTTTTGTGTACAATTGTAACTTTTTATTCAAGTTCTTTTTTAACTGCTGTTTGTTTAAGTTAAAAAATTTACATCTTGATTTAGGTATTTGTAAGGAGAATGTCGATGTTATGTGATAGCTAGCTTATGTGCCAGATGTATTAAATAAAAAAAATCGACCAGACAAAATCCATAAATATTAATTGCACTAAATCTAAGTTAGTGACTTAATTTTGAAGTTCAGTATCATTTGCTAGTTCTCTGAGAACAACGAAACGCTGAGTGTGCTGAGCCTGGTGCCGGCTGTAGAAGACGACGGACGTCAGCTGACCTGCCGCGCGGAGAACAAGCATATACCTGACTCCGCTATTGAGGACAAATGGAGACTCAATGTACACTGTAAGTAGATATACTGTAATAAAAACGAATCTTAATAAACAAATCCAAATTGTCCAAAAAACCAATTATTTCTATCACTTTTGACAGCGCCGGCCTATTGCTAAATACATTTTACAACCACGATCAAGATTACTAAAGTTTGAATCACAAAATAATTAAAAAGAATTCGTGGCCGCGGAATGAATTCGATACTTCCCGAAAAAGATTTTAATAAATCTCTGGAGATGACACGTCGACCACAAAGATTGAGGACGAACTTGTCGTACTACTCGAGATAATCCTCAAACTCCGAGATATTAATAATTTGTTCCTTCTCAACTTTATATTGCTTCATAAATTTTAATTAAATGCTCTTGCTGGATTACGGACGAAAATAAAATTTGCTCGATGTGGTTTTATCTACATCTCCAGAAATATTATCTGACGGCCGAGTGACAGGGAACATAGATTAGGGAAATGTCTACATAAAAGTCGTATATACTTTTCTTTGTAGTACGCATACCCAAATGTTACAGCTGCAACTGCGAATATTAAACCTTTGTTAAAATTGTGAGAAATATATTTGCCCTCGACAATACCTTTGACAGGTCATCAGTGCCTCGTTTAAACTTTGATTACGTCTGCACTAATTAATGACTATTATAGTTTGAAAATTTTAAGTTTTGTTCAAATCAAAACTTTAATTGTATTTCATTTTGTCAACCCCTCTTAATTACTTTGAATTTTGTTTAATTTTCGTTGTCAGTAATGTCCAATTAAAAACAAATAAAATAGCAATAAATTTGAAAGCCGATTATCAAGTACTAGGTCAGAATGTCCATGTAAGATAAGTTTCAAAAGCCTTTTATATAGCCAGTTTAATATAAAGTAACGTCGTATTCCGTCAAGTCACATAAATGAACAATAGGTTGTCCCTGAGAGGATAAAGCATTTTAATCAAATCGTCTTGTTACAGATGTGCCTATCGTTGATCTCAAGATGGGATCCAATTTGAACCCTAACGAGATAAAGGAAGGGGACGACGTTTACTTCGAATGCACGGTGAAAGCGAATCCCAAGACACACCGATTGGTTTGGTTTCATGATGTAAGTTTGTGGATTTTAATTTTTTTTTAACCTTCGACCCCTTTCGATTTTATTCTACTATTGGGAACTCGCAGCTGTTCCAACTTTTCTATTTTGACAACCCTGAACTTTATCTTTCACCATCGTTGAACCCCATCTGGCCCTTCGTGGATCCTAGGACATTAACCTGGACATATCTGGGTGTCACTATTAATCGTTTATCAGTAACCTTAGTAATTCTTTTGTAAATTACTTTTATTATCTTCTATAAAAAGCAAAATGTATGTTACGAGTATGATTAAATTTGGTACTGCAGTGAGATAAATTCTTTGCATATCTCTCTTAGTCGTAAACAGCGCAATATACTGGAGCAGTCGAGCAATATCCAAGTATTCGCTATAACGAGTCTCGTAGATCAGTTTCTCAGTGTACCAGCTGTTTATTTAATTTAGTACTAACTAAGGTGTCGGAATTATTTACGGCATATTTTGCGAACTATCTTCATACTTAAATGTATTCTTGACTTGTTTCATGAATTCACCAAGACGGTCATAGTTGTACGTCTGCAATTTTTTTTTATTTGGACGCTTAATCTGATAATTTGTTAATAAGGAATTGTTAAGTTAGGCAAATGCTTGTTTAAAATTAGCACCTGTCGACTTGTGTACAATGTTTTATCAATTTCGTTTGTTCTCAGAACTCCGAGATCTTCCACAATGAGGCGTTGGGTGTGATTCTGAGCGCACAGAGCCTGGTGTTGCAGAGCGTGACGCGGCGCGCAGCCGGCGACTACGCCTGTATGGCCGCCAATAGCGAGGGCAAGGGCACCAGCAACCCCGTCACGTTGCAAATACGATGTAAATATCTGAATTCTTAATGTTTTATTAGATTAAATGAAAGAGACGAATTTTATAGAGTGTGAATAATTTTATTTGCTAACTGTAGAGTCGTAACGTATACGATGCCGTATTCTCAGGACGAACTTTATGAGGTTAAATGCGTCAACATTTGCAACACAGTCGACTATTTAGCGGTGCAATCCTTGAAAAAAACGTCACCGCGATAGTATTTCCGTAAAAGCACTTAACACCGCAAACTCTGAATCGCAGTGCAATTTCGAAGGTAATACCGGCAAATACTAGGCTGAGGCGGAACTAGCGGCGCACTCCCGCAAAGTGGCGTTAAGTGTGGAGCGAGAGCATTACCGGAGATTGCGCGGATACATTGCCGCGCCGCTAACTGAGAATTATATCGCCAGCTTACTCAGCCCGCAATGCATATAACGTAATAAAATTTTACAGCGGACAGTTGCGACGCTAACAGATAAATAAAAGCATTTATTGTCGGAATTCAAAGCAGTTAAACTATACAATTTATAACCTAGAACGTCTTGAAATTTATACAACAAAGGGGTCGTTTACTAAAATTATTAATTTGTTAAATGGATTCTGTTTTCACGGAATGTTGCGACAATTCGTTTCGTCGTCTACAATAAATATGTTTTTATTGCTCACAGTTTCTCACGCTGTCCTGATATATTGGAATTGTTTTTGAAAATAAAATGTATTTATTATTTTTTAAAGTCCCCAAACATCGAAAGTTTCACTGAGGTCTAGACTTGTGAAAGAAATATTTTTGAATTCATAGTTTCTTTGTATGTCGGTTATAAAATAAAAAAAAACATTAAAAAATATCGTAAAAAGTCAATTACTTCGTCAGCCGGGATTTGGCGATTATTTAGGGGTTGCGCATTGCGGACATTTAAGACCTTTTCATTTACCAAATAAACCTCTTTTTTAGGGAGATAAATAAACATACAAATTATAATATTAAAGGTTTACTTATCGCCCATTAACGATATAGATAATCGCTTAAACATCGGTCATGTTTAATCTTATAAGTTAGTTGTTCATGTGACAGAAAATGCAATTTACCCGCTGAGCGGTTCAGAAACTCACAACGTCGGTTAACCAGATGTCTCTGGAGGCATTAATTTTCTAATTAAACTGCCTGCACACAGTAATTATCTTAGGGAAGTAACGCAGCCTCTTAAGCGCCGTGATTATTCTACAAAGTAAGTGCTCCATCAATCTCTGCGTCTCTGATAATTTATTCCGTTGTTTTAAGGAATTCCGGCAATTCTTCGACCGCTACAGCCTTGGTGAAGTGTGCATCTAGTTTTATAACGAGCCCTTGTTAAACGTCGTATTGTTAGCATGGAATTGCTTTATTGGAGTTTTAGTTGTTGTTTTGAATAGTTTCTGGTTTAGTTATTGTGATCATTGAATTCGTTTTATATTGTTCGATGATGTTTATTATTCATGGTTATCGAGTTGATACACTGCAGTTGTTTGTTTCGGAACAATGAGTAGTAATTGTTGATAATTGTATTCAATAAAGTTAAACAGTAATGGCTGAATGTTTGAGTTAATACGGAATACTAATGGAATCGAGAATTTAACAAAATCTCTACTTTTGGTCTACAACTTCTGGACTCCTTGTACCTTGTCCTTGAACTCCGTACAATTTGAATAGATAAGATTTTTAGTTGTTTAATTTAAAGTATGTTGTACTCAGATGCCCCCGTGTGTGCGGAGAGGAAAGATAACGAGCTATACGGAGCATTGAAGCACGAGACAGTCTCGCTGCACTGCGCTGTCGACGCCAACCCAGCGCTGGTCTCCTTTCATTGGACATTCAACAACTCAGGGGAACAGACTGACTTACCGCCCAGGTACCCGACTAACTTTAAAGATATCCCAAAGTACATGCTCGATTCACTTGCATCAAAAAAAACTTAAAAAAGGTTTTACTCTTATGCTGCTTCCACATATATTACCTATTAAAATGTATGTATTTAAAAAGTCCGTAATATCAGCGTTTTGAATATAATTAATGGTGTTTTTAATTTTACAATTTCTTTGTATTTTGTTTGGTAACCATAAATATTCACGTTGATTAATCGAGGGAGAAAAGCTTTTTAAGAAAACTTTCATCTATACGGAGGCTATCTTTTTTGCATTCTTGATTAACTTCCACAAAGTTGAATAAGAATGATCGAAGCTTCTAAAAGGAGTCTTAAATGTGAATACTTTATTTTGCGATGCAAGATAGAGCACGTTTCCTCTTAGGATAATAACTAATCGTAATTCAATTTGTTCTTCAAAATTTACTTTTATACTGGCAAGTAAAAGGTAATAGTGAAAAACAAGAACGGCATGGATCTTGCTCAAATTTGGTACAGCTATAGAACATAGTCTGGAAGAACACATAAGCTACAATTTTTTTTTATTTAATTCTGTACGGGCGGCGTCGCAGGTGAAACCTTGTATATAGTAAAAACGAATAATTTTTTGTACTCGTTTTCGTTAAAAATTTAAATATTTTTTTGATCGATCTAATATTAATTTAGTCGTAACCAAATGTATATTTCTTATGATATAGATTATACAACAGCCACGGTAACATTTCGACACTCAACTACACGCCGACCAGTGATATGGAGTATGGAACGCTGGCTTGCTATGGCGAGAATTCTGTAGGCCAGCAGAAGGTGCCCTGTCTCTTCCAGCTTGTCATTGCTGGTATGTTTTGTCACCTGTCAGATCGAGTATTAAACGCAACATATGAAGCTAGGAAAAAGTTCAATAATTAGTTCAATCAAAAAAATTTACAAGCTTATATTACATTTCTACTTCAAGTTTAGAAATTAATTTTTGTGGTTTGGTTTAACTTTGTTAAAAAAATTTCTGGTATATCTGAGATTAAAAATAACAATATTTTTAACAAAACCTTTGTGAACACTTTAATCTGTGTATCATGTTAATGTTCATATAATTTTTGTAGTCCACTTTAAACGTAAAGAAACTAATAGTCGTCTTCCGAGGGCACTTTGTTACGTCGCTGCGCCGGCGAAGTAATTAAATGTAATGCGCTCCTTGCCGCTACTACTGCTAAAATTAAAATCTGCTTTATTATAAAAAAGAAATTTTAATTAACATAGACTATTAAACAAATTATCTGAATAGAAAATTGCTATAAAATTACCACTAATGGATGATTGCAATTTTGTAATACAGGAAGATATTCCCAATTCTATGCACATTTTGAACAGCCATCATAATTTCATAATTATTTTGTATACGACGTAGGTCGGCCGCTTCAACTGCAGAACTGCTCTGTGGCGAACCAGAGCGTAGACGCGCTGTATGTAGAGTGCGTGGAAAGCTTCGACGGTGGCCTGCCGCAGACCTTCCTGCTGGAGCTGTTGGAACTGCCTTCCCTTAAGGTCAGCTTTACAAAATTAGACAGATAAGTAGCTTAACAGAATTAGAAGAGTGCTATCTTAACATGATAGAAGTTGAGTGTGACAAAGTAAATTCTTTTGTTTTATGGTCGGATAAAAGAAAGTGGGCCTTCACATTTATAATCTGATTAACGTTTTTTTGTCTCTGTCTCTTTAATTGAGTATAACTTCAATTGGTCAGTCAAATTCTTTTACAAAAGATATCCTTACTAGTTTGAAAATTACCTTTAGGTGCGCTACAACGTATCGACGAGCCGCAGTCCGCCATCATGGGAGGTGCGTGGTCTGCCTGCGGGCGCGCGCTACCGGCTCGACCTGTACGCTGTCAACGCCAAGGGCCGCAGTGACGTCACCACTATCGAGACCGTCACGCTCCGGGGTCAGGCCAAGTACACTGGTTAGTAGTTCATTTTTGAATAATATAAATTTTCCCCAATCTCTACATATAACGAATATCCAGTTTTTGAATTTTCGGAACCACTTGACAAGTTTTGACGAGACTTTAACAGGAAGGTAGCTTTAAATTCGGCGCTGACAAATTCATCATCATCATTCCTCCTTCTTACAGTAGCTTTCTAGCTCTTTATCTCCGTAAGCACCAAATATTTTTTCTTGAAGGACGGAAACACTTATCTACGTCTCTTTTACTATTATTTAAGCCCTAAAAACTTGAAAACCACTGACGTACTTTTAATATTACCTTCTAGAGTTTCATATTATTTATTACAATACTCAATAATCACGGACAATTTGTAAGTAGCAATAAAATAAATCACCAACAAAAACTCCCACAGCGATGTCTGATAACCGCCAACATAAGTTTAGTTCACGCTTAAAATATTTATATTGTGTGTGGAGCGGCAATATCACGATACTGAGCACGTAACTTGCGGCCGCGGGTCACGCCAGCCGCAATAGACGACTTCATTCTGTGCCAATCAAACATCAAAAAAAGAATAACATCATGTGTACCAAACATGTCCTTTTATGACACCAAGATACAGATGAAGCGGCTACATAATCTACCATAACCATTCAGAATAAGAACTTAAGGTAGAGGAGACACAGACTTCGTAATTCTGCAGTACTTTTGATACTGGGTTTTCGCTGAAGAATTATTATTTACCAATATATTGACATAGAATTTCTTATTTTTCCTGTAAACACTAATTTCTAATTTCTGTATGCATTTTTCAGTAGTGAAACATCTACTGCCATCGCTATTCTTTCGCGTCACACCTCGACTTAGGTTACTAGTGTGTCATAACCCTTATTTTGCAATAAAGTAAACAATTACATGCTGTAACGCCAAGCTTATTTAACTTTTGCTAACTACACGTGTTTACTAAAAAGTAAAAACACTATAAAATCGTTTCATGAAATCCGTACTATAAATAGTGCAATTTAAAGTGTTGCTGCAGTGAACTAAGCCATTCGCTTTGCGTGTCGTTCAGAATTGGCAGGCGATCGTGTGCGAGGCTCTCTCTTAATACTTCCAACATTGCGGATATTTATTATTTAACACGGCATTAAGCCATTTTGCATATCGCACGGAAACACTCGCAGAAATAAATTCTTCTTGAAATAGTGACTCTAGTGAAATATGCTGTAAATCTACAACTTAGATTTCTTTAATTTAACGCTGTCTTTCTAATAAATATACAATGATTATTATCAATTGTATTTTCACAAGATTATTAACAGAAGACTGGTAGTTTTAGTCAGCGTCGAGAAATTACTCTGATTTGAAATTAAAATCCATCCATCTATCTTGTTTATACAAATATGTAAATGAAATTTTTAACATGAAAAGATATTTAGGTAAAATAAAGCAACCCTCTTTGTGTTGAATAGAGTGTAATTAAAATTTATGTTTGAAAATAACATACGCTCGACATAATTGTTCTCGATTAGCGGCCGCGCGACCTAATGTTACAAATTTGCATATTAATGGAATGTGCCCGCGCTGTATGGGAGACGTAAATCAACTTAGCTTTTGGCAACAGGAATACAATATCTCTTCACGAATCATGCGGACGAGATGAGGGATATTAATATTAACAATGATAGACCCCGAATAAGTATCAACCGATGCGAATGTTCCAGCTCTATGAGTAAAATGTAACAATCAAGATAACGGACGCGTGAAGTTTTCTACGCTTTGTAGGAGGAGTAAGGTGTCGTGGATCCGACTGTTCCCCTTCGTTACAAAGCTGAAAAGAATTTGACGGGTTGGACTCCTAGAAAACTTAATACAATCTTTGCTACATTGCAATATTAGGTTCTTAGTATTAGTTTTCAAGATTCCTCTTCATGTTATGTTGTCTGTGCAGGCGAGAGCAGCGCGCTTGGCATGTCTCCGGTACTCGCGTCGGTGGCGGCGATGTCGGCGTTGCTGGCCAGCGCGGTCTGCGGCGCCCTCGCAGTGCTGTACCGCAGACACGCCGCGCGCCACCGGCACCTGCCCGCCAAGCACGCGCCCTTGAGGTCAGACACACATACATGTCAGTGATTTGGCTAGCCGTAGAATTGATGAAATTCGAGCGTTTACTACTAAATGTTACAATCCACGACAATTTACAGCGATCTTACGTGACAATATCCATTACTAATGAAGTAGTCTGTTAAAATAAGTTTTGTTCCACTAGCGAGGCAATGTACGGTGAGCGCGCGGGGCAGTGTCCAACGCCGGTGAAGGCGGAGCCGGCGCTGGCCAGCCCGGGTGAGGCGCGCGGTCCGCTGCTGCGCTCGCCGGACTCCAGGGAGGCGGACGACGCCGACCCTGACATCATACCTAGTCTTTATGGTTCGTAGTCATGTCTTCAATACTGTATCGCTACAATACTATAGACAATGTTGAATAATGTTGTTACTTGTTTAGAGCGGAGGCCGGTCTCTAACGGCTACATGAGTCTGCAGCGGCCGCCGACCGCCAGCAAACCAAGCAAGCCGGGCGAGGATCCCGAGCCCGACGCGGCCGGCTTCTATGCCGATCTTAGGAAAAAAGATTATAAGATACCTCTAACTAGTGTGAGTATCTTTGTCCATAAGAAACTTAACATCGAACGTGAGAAAAGATTTTAATCAGCTTTTCCCTTCCAGTCGTACCATAGCTTAGGGCGCGCGCACAAGGGTGGTGTGGCGTGCGGTGCGGGCGCGGGCGCGACGGTGACGTCATCGCTCACCGCGCACCGGTTACGTCCCGAGGTCGTGACGACGTCGCACCGCGTGCAGGAGAGCTGTATATAAAACAACACATTGGAGGCACTGCAAGACATTTTGATACCTCTTTACAATTGTCTTCTCTTCATTGGAAATGCGAATTTGCGAGTTGACAGTGTACAATATAAATTTAGTTTCTCACTTTTAGTGAATTCTTTATTAGCATATTGTTGTATAAATCATATTGCTTTGCAATGTTTTCATTCATTCAGTTTTTATTATTACATTTTTAATAGAATTCTAAAGTTCTTGGAAGTTTCTTATTCCTTCACATTTCTCTTGAATAATTCTTATATATCACGTCTTGTCTTAACAACTTTGTCATGACTTGTGCTCAATACATACATACATTGGACAATATGTTGTACATTTATTAACTTTTATATATAACATAAAATCAATATTGTCCTTGAACACAAAAATGGTTTTGTCTGAGTATAATTGAGCAAGCTATAGTCTCCGAATCATCGTCGTTTTGACACAGTGATTTTATATTATATTAATTTATATTAAAACTGAGATAAAGTAAATGAAATAGTAATAATAATAATGAGAAACTGGCGTGTTTTTATCAAGTTACTTTTTGACAATTTTACTGCAGACTTTGTTTTCTTTTAATAAATTCGCATTTATATTTTAGTAGTGTAAGTATACGACAATACATTCAAAATAATGTCCTTACAGTGCTTCCAACAAGTAAACCCCTCCGATGTACATAATCAAATACAAATAAGTACTGACTGTGTTCCTTTCATAGTTTAAACTTTTGTAAATATTGAATTTTTAAATCGTTTTATATTTAGTGTAATGTCGTTGAGTGTAAAAGCATCTGTATGTAAATAATAATTGTAAAAAAAGTTAGGTTTAACAAAATGCATGACATTGCTCAAATGTACTTGAATTTGGAACAATTGCGTAATGTTATTATATTAGAAAATATTATTTATTTTTAAAGGAAATTATTCAATTTTGACGTCCAATCCGTAAATTCATTATTAATATAATTTAAAACGTAAAGTTAATACAAATATATTTTTCATGAATACAAAACAAAGGTGAATTTTTCTATAACAAGTTAAGATTTCTCTACCGTTATTCACACCATTTCCGAATACATTACAAAATAGTAAGTCTCAGGTATTTACGGTAAATTTTATATTCTTTGCCGTATTGTTGATTTAGCTCCAACACCTATATAATGTTATAATTTCACGTGGCCGAGAAATGATTGTAGAACCGTTTAAAATGTGTTAAACTCTCACATTTTTATACAAATATTTATTTGATGACTGCTCGTGTAAAATGTATTTTAATATAATCCCATTGCATACCAACATGCACTTTCCGAAATAGTCTTCCTTTAATGTGTGCATACTTTGACAGTACAATTTGAACCTTCCTATATAAATAACACCTACTTAGTGTTTGAACTTTCGGCGGTATGTTTACAAGGCTGTTACCGATTCGGGGTTAAAAGTAACTGTTGTAACATCGCACTAACAAGACGAATAAACGCCCGTATGATTGATGCGCACAACAAATCTTCCGAGCTAAAGTTACCGTCGAGTGATCCGAAAGAAATTTAAATGTGCGGCCACTAAAACAGCGATTCTAATGATTATGGATTTTTTAAGAAATATAACAGATTTGTTGTATTAGTTTTGATGCCTCAATCTTGTTACGTTCACAAATTACTTCTTTTTAACTCACTTTAATAATGCCAGGAAATATATCACGAAATGAATACGACGTTATTAGAATCATTTGCAGAATTTTAATTTTTTAAAAACAAAAACAAAATACACTCTATGACTTTTCATTGAATATGTCTGTAACGCTAGTTTCGTGGCTTTGTGCAACGCCTCCGCGGCCACACGCGAAGTGTCGTTAAATCGAATGACAACATTTATCTGCCGTTAGCGCCGCGATCAGTTCTCTGCCATCAGTTCCCCGCGATCAATTCCCCGTCGCTCGTGCGAGTTCCCTTCGAGTTACGACTCTTCACTCGCTCATTTGTCGGGCCGACACGGAATTCGAGCAGTGTTACCGATGTTTATAGGTTCGTTATTCGACGACATTCGATGCTCCATTACCATTGTAAACGGTTGGCGTTGAGTGGCCGTGTACCGAGCGGTTCTCGGAACTGTTGTTGTAATACATTTTCGACTCGATTCGAATTCGAAGATCAAACGATCCCTGGTTACCCTCGTTTTATAATTCAAACATGTCGGGGCACGTTTGACCGGCCATTATGCTCACACTCGTTGTGTACACAAAATTATTTCAATAATAACACAGCATGTGGCTAATATTATAATAATCGTAACATATTTTTGTACTGGCGACAAATAAATTTAATGTTTGTAAAGTCGGTCCATAGTCGGCGCCAAACTTTATTTCAATTTTCAAATTTCTTATATGAACATTTTTACATTTCAAGTATTGCTTTCTCAGAAATTGTGTGTTAACATTTATATTTTGAAACATTTAAAATTATAACTTGTGTAATAAAAGGAATGTTGTTATTACATCTTTTAGCTGCTATTAAATTAATCCAAAGATAAATAGATCAGTTACGTTTATAATAAAGTTGTCGGAGCTTCTAACAGAATTGTTTTAATCTGATTACGTCTAGAGGATGTGCTTCTTTAGCTGAATGTAAAACTTTTGAATTAAATTATAGGACGGGAGTTAATTACATTCGATTCTTAGAATTTTGTGTGGAACCAGCCTTAGTTTATAGAAGTACATTAATTTCATAGAGAGATTTAATAAAATTCAAGACAAAAAGAGATTTAGCAATTTTATTTATTACATAAAAGGAAAAAAGTATTATAATGTATGTTGAAATTATTGTATATAATGTATAAATTGTAAATAGATAAATCTACGTTTAAAATCTAGTCTAATTTAGATAATACGGTGCTAAGTATTGTACATTAATAAAAAAAGAAATAATTTGTTAGTGTGCGTCAATTGTCAACTGTCTCATACAAAGTATGGGGACTGAATGTTGTTGATAAAAGTTGAAGAAGATAAAAAAAAAACGAAAGATTGTTTCTTGTAAATGTTTCCAAATACAATGTCGAGCATTTATTATTATCGTTTTATTTCAATTACCCAAATTATATTATATTATATTATACAAAATTACATATCTTAAATACTACTCTTAATTGATATTTTCATATATTATTTAATAAAAAAAATAGGGTTTGAATATAAATTATTATTAGTTGTCTAACTTCAGAGCTGAGGCTCGATAAGGCAAAATATTCCTTAATTTCCTAACAATTAATTGTATCAAAGGGCTGTTATTAATTTGTTCTACGAACGATTCAAACCGATTTCTGGAATCTGACGTTTCCAATTATTTCTCCTTTGTGTAGCGACCATCTTTAACAGAAAAATCAATTGATTGTGGAACGTTTCTTTGAATAATTGCTAAGAAATAAAATAAAGCAATTTCCTACAGTCGGCATCGTGTTATGATGACAAAGATTATTAGAAATACAATTAGTAAGCATATAAGCAAGTATCAATAAACTAGGTCCGAGTACATAAAAGAAAACATGTAAATTACTGTCTAACTTGTTGCAGATCATATTCCACTTAATTGAAATTATATTATATGAAAGAATTACACTCGGTAGACATATTCCATCTACCCTCATGACTAGAATAGACCTTAATAGTTTTTTTTCTAAATGACAAACGTTCAAAACACAGTAAGTGATCCTAAGACATATTCAAAAGTTGTTCATCACAATTAAATAGAATTTATACGGGACCCCACAGCGGACACAACGTGTTGGTATAACGTTACGTTTGTTTTATTATAAAGGGCAACGTTTAACTTACAATTAATGTTATCCGAACAATGTATCGTATGATTTATACGTTTAAAAATACATTGAACAAATATGTAGAGGTCGTTACAAAACTGATGGGCTTTAATGTGTCCTCGTGGATTATACTGGGTGTTAGGTAACATCAGATTTCATCCAATAAAATGATCGGTCTTGCCATTGGTTACTGAGATATATGAGTCTTTTTATAAAACATATCGTCATCCCTGTCATTATATTTAACAAAACAGAGATACCAATATGTTTTAAACAGGGATTTTGGCCTCAGAACTCCACGGTTAGTTAAATAGTTATGTGAGTCAATGAAAAACCAAAGTCTAGTTACCTACAGACTTTTCTGATGTTAATTGCCCGACATCCGAAACACCCAGGCTTATAATTACCAAGTTAGTCGTTACAATTGCTGCCCCTAACATGGTTATAAGCAATAAAAAGTGCTAATACATTTTAATAATGTGTACCGAAAACCCTTAAAGGCATTTAACTTTTGTGTCTCCAATTAGGTTTTTTCGACAACCTGTAGAAAACCTAAACGTAAAATTAGACAATACATTGTAACCTTGTATACGAATGTATAATGAAACACACACACACACACAACTCACGCCTGTAACTCGAAGGGGTCGGCAGAGACCTCGGACCTCAATTTGGCATGGCCAAACGAACCTACGCAATCCACTTTTCGCCCTTGCGGGAGACTAAACGTGACGAGTGGCGAGCCGCGTGGCCGCTTTTTTTCTCTCAGAAATTCACACATATCTTTAAATCACTTTAGATGATATGTGTTGCATCACCGTAAGAACGTCCGATAAAAGTACAAATGTAAATTGCAAGTCGAAAAACACATTGGTACATGGCGGGATTCGAACCCAGGATCTACAGATTACAAGTCAAGCGCTTAACCCCTGAGCTACCGATGCTTTGTATAATAAGAAACAGAATAAAATTGAATATTTGTAGCACCGTTATTAAAAAAAATAAACAAAACATTTGGTAATATAGATCTTGTTCGATCAGCCGACCTTAAACAACACGCAACAAATAAATGGATTGAATTTTATAATACCCCCCATCGCTTCGGGAACGCTCTCTGATTTTATGACGTACTGGACAGCGAGGAATTTGTGTCCAATTTTATGGAACCATCGTTAAGGATGATTAAAATGTTACAGTTCCCAACTTGGCAGCAAAGATAATTTACATATAGAATTGAAAAATCATTTAGCTACACAGACGAGCAAAATACTCATAGCATTTATACAACAAGAATATTTATTAAAATAATGCACACGTAGTTTTTATAATATAGTTTATTCAACTTTTAATGCTAAAATTAGTTATATGCGCTATAGTGAATTGCAAATACGTAAAAAAATGCAATATTTTTTTTATTAAAGTGTCCAGTAATCATAGTTTCCATTGAATTCAACAAGAAATATTTAACTTTCAAACGGCATGAAACTTAAACAGTTTTAATGATGGCATAAAATTTTACACAGATAATAAATGTCCGGGGCACAATAAATTTGAGGAAACAGATTATAAAATTTCACTTTAACTTTGACAGTTCACGTGTGGTTAAATTTAGTATGGCGATAATTTGTAGTCCACCGGGATATCGAAAATACAATAAAACTTTATAATGAGACAATTTTATAAATTTGTCCAAACGAATGCGACACATTGTGTTGTAATACAAAATTTATTGCCCATTGCAGAGCGAGCCGATGACTTATTGATACTAATTGTATCTCATTTCACATGCATTTTGTATCACAATGTAAGTAATTTTCAGAGCAGCAAAATCGGCTGACATGGGAACGGGCAAAAAGTGATGCATGGGGCCGCGGACGAGAGCGAAAGCGTGCCCGTGGCCCCGTCCCGATGCGTCAGAGGGCAGTCAGGTTTTAGTGGGTATTCTGGTCACCTTCTGTGGCCGGCGAGTCCCACACTCCCTACGCCATTGCACCGCCCGGCGTAGGCGTGCGTAAATGCATTTCCTGACTATAAAAAAAAAAAAAAAAAAAAAGTGATGCTTAATTACTAAACATACTAAA